ACAGACGGACACGATAACTTGAGAAGGCTTAAATGGATTGTCTTGATACTTGATACACACACATACACAAACGCCTCTGAAAACATAACCTTCTTGGCGAAGGTAAAAATATGTTTCTACCACTGAACAATTGTTGTTCTCCACCCTCACCTGATGCAGCTGCGGTGAACCGACTGTCCAGGGTGTGTCCCCATCAGGTGCTAGCCTGCTGTAGCTGTGCGGGTGTTTGGTGCATCTGTCATACAGGATACCATACACCTGCACAGCCTCACCTGCTGTCTGCATGTACCTGTACTCTTTAGCTCCTCCTGTCTCCTGTTAGGAGTATTACACACAGTTAAGCATTAACTACATAACCAGTGTACAAAATACTTTTTGAACCAGGTTGCCCAGTGGGCAACCTACGGCAAAAATTAGGTTGCCCATCAGAATTTTAGGTTGCCCCAACTATAAGTTACTACTTTCCTCAAATTAAGCAATGTTACATACATTAAGCCTTTGACAATATTTCTAACAGCCTTTAGTTAACTGATACTAGTAATCACCATTAATACCTAGAATTAAAAAGCATCTGTCGGATACAGTGGTGCAAGCCAAGTGGGCATGATTTGGGGGGGGGGCTTTCTTAAAATTCAGGTAGCACACTGGGCTACCTAGGTTCAAAAATAGGTTGCCCCAAGTAAAATTTGGTTGCCCAGGGCAACTGGGCAACCAGGTATTTTGCACGCTGATAACAAACTTGGTAACATTCACTGCAGTTGTTTTCTTGGGCAATAAGATTTCTATATTCTGACATATGACAGTTCACCAAAAATAAACTTGTGATGAGCCCTATTCTTTCTACAAATTCTGAAACTGTTTTTTTCTGTCAGCATTGGCAGCATACTTTGAATTTCTCCCATTCTTAAAACTATTTAATATCTACATTTGTATAAACAAACTAATTAAAAGTAGATCAAACCACAATAATTGTCCTTGATTTACAACTGACAACTTAATGAAGTTTTTGCATGCAGTTCATATTTCAGTGTAATACATTTAATTTCATTCTTCAAACCAAAATGACAAGGACACAGAATGATTTTTGAACTATAAATTAAAATGTTTGTACCTAAATTTCAGCAAGATATATTTTTATATATAAACAGACTGTAATAGATGATGATGGTTGTCACACCTGTGTCATGACTCTGTACTTGAACTCCCCTTTCGAGCTATCAGGGTCACCTGATGCCACCTGTAGCTCCAGCACCTGTACTACAGGTGCAGCTGCACCCTTCTTAGTCACCTTACAGTGATCTTTCTGCTTGGGAAGAACATAGATTTTCACTATAAACATTGAAGCTTTGAAAGTATTGCAATAGTTCTTTGAATACAGGAGTCACAGGAAGTGAGGGGGGAAATGATGTAACCACAGACTGACAGGAAGGTTAAATTGGAGGTCAAAATGATCTCACAGCAGACTGGAAGGAAGTGACAGTAGCATATGTGGAGAATCAGAGTAGTTGACAATAAAGAACAAAACAAGAAAAGCACAACGACCCTAAATACTTCATATAGAGGTGCGAAACATTTTGCTGGGTTTGATTTCTTGAAAAAGTAATGAAAGATATGAAAGACATTTTGAATGATTTTTAACCCTTGTCCTGTGAAGCCCAACAATTGTTTTTTTGCACATACATACAGTACCATCTATATAGCACTCTGGGGGTATTTCCGATGCAACGTACAGCAGCAAAACAAATGTGGGCAAAAAAAGCCAAGGGTCTATGACCTAATTAAGACATGATATTAATTATTATTATCGAAAAATATTGTGTAAAAAATGCCAAATGCCAGCAAGACAAGGGTTAACCCTTGTCCTACGGAGCATTTAACAATAATAATTATTGTTGTTCTGCACATGCAGTACCATCTATATACCACCCAGTATAGGTACGATTTGGGGGTATTTCTCGTGCAACGCAGCGAAACGCAACGAATGTGAAAGTAACTATGCCACTGCAGGGCAAAAAAATTTGGGGGTCTATGATATAATTAAGACATGAAATTATTGAAAAATATTGTGCCAGGAATGGCAGCAGGACAAGGGCTAAGACCTTCAATCAGAAACAAAGAAAGTGCCCTTTTGTGGAACCTACATTCTAAGTCTTGTACACTCACCTGTAAGAAGACATACCTGGCCACCTCAAATCTTCCATCTACCAGCAGAGGATCTGAAACAGAGCCTTCCATAGGATCATGTTTGAAAGCTCCATCTGGACCTTTTTCTCCTTCCTTCCACACCCTGAAAAAGAATTTTAAAAAAAGGTTGATTGAAATTTCTTACAAAAAGACTGATTGCAAGACCAAATTAATCCTTAATATTCATAATGCAAAATTAATAAAAAGCTAGTATATGCAGATGAATACATTTTTTAGTAAATTACTCTATGGAAAATAACTGGCTAGACTTGCCATGCTATGGTTGATTGTTTGAACATTTATAATAAGCTTGCTGTCAGTTGGACTTTTTCCTTTAGAAATTCCAATTCAATCCCACTTTTGTATTATATGAAGGTTTCCTAGTTCTGTTACTATTAATTCAATTAATTAATTTAAAAATCCTGCTGGGTCAAGATATGAAGCCTTAAGCTTACTTGATCTTGTTGATGTCTACTGTCACCTTCTTTACTTCTCCTTGCTTGAGGCTTCTGGGGGCTGGAAAATCATTAGTATATGTTAGGCCATGTTGATTTGATTATATGGATGACATCCTCTGGGAACCCCAAAACTGATGCGCGCGTGCGAATAAAAAAAAGTTTTGCAAAAAAAAAGTTGCTTTCACTTTGAAATCTACGTGGTCATCAAGGTTGAACAAATGGCACAGAATATGTTATGGCGAATAATCTACTCTAATCGAATTCATTTCTTTACATTTTTGTCTTTTTCCTTTGATTTTGGCATTCTACGACATTGGTATCGTTTCTAAATGTTTTCCTTGCAACTTATGGTATATATTTGCTCATTTAGCAACTGTTTTGCACGATTTACAGTATGGTTGAAAACTTTTTTTTTTTGAAACGGCCGAAAATTCATGCGCGCGCGGATGTCATCCATATAATCAAATCAACATGGCCTTATTATTATAACCAGATAGAATTATCATTATTATTATAACCAGATAGAATAAACAAACACCAATTAAGAGATAGACCATTGGACACAAGTCACCCAAAATCTGCTTGGAAAACCCACACATCCAGAAAGGCCACAAAATTAATAGTCCATCAAAATAGGGTTATTTTTCACACGATCAACCAAGTGTTTGTGTAGCAGAGTGTGGTGACTACATGTGTGATTAGAATACTTTATGGTATAACTAGAGTTCGGAGGACTCATGCCTTCGACAGTGTGATATTGCTTTCGTGGGTGTTGTGTGTATGTATAGTGTAGGCTTTTTGAAGATGATTATCGTAGTTTCCGTCAGGACCAAAGAAAAATGATCGCAGTTGTATCTCGCGTTGGTGTGGATGGATGTAATTGGGACTCGGTATACGTTCTGCTATTGGGCTATAGATGGTGCACGTTCTTTTGTTCTTATTGTATATGTGTTTTCGGGCGTGAAAATGAATTTTATTGGCGGCCCCCGGACACCCCTTTGACTCAGTTTGAGTCTGAAAATGGTCGCCCGGGTTGACCTTTGGTGTGTTTGTGGTATTATGAGATTGGTCCACTTTTTTGTCACAGAGGGGTGTTCCACAGAGGGGGTGTTCGGTGTCGATGAAAGATTTGTTTTCAATAAGGCACTGGTATCATTGGCGGGTGGACGTGGTGAGATATTAGTTGTTCCTGACGTTTTAAATTAGATACAATCGAACGCAAGTTTTGCGAGTAGTAAAGTGGTGTATGCTAAAGTACGGGACATCACCAGGACCAAGGACATTCTATCACCGTGTGATGAAAGCTTCTTGCCGGGACAGACCTCGATCTGCTCGGAAACATGTATAGAGAGCACCGGGCCGTCACGCCGAAGGTTACGTGGCTTACACTACCGGGTTATCGAACAAGGACATTATACAGGTCCTTGAACGAACGTAAAATTATGTGGAAAAATGCCATAAATCCGCTAATAGATATATATTTTCCCCAAAGGTTCTTTGAATTGTGGCAATCATATTTTCACTAAATGTGGCTATGCAATCGTTGAAAACAGCGTTTTAGGGGGCACACCCCAATTTATTTGGGGCCTCTATTCGAAGCTGCACACCCTCAAATCCTTCGACCGTCTCTGGCGTGGAATAATTCGGAAGGAGAATAACTGTATATGGGACGAAAGGATATCTCTTCAGCTACAAGACAAGCTGAGTTTGGTTTCTTCAACCTTTTTAAGTTTGGTAAAATCAACGGAAAAAACATTATTTTCACTCCAAAATTAATGCCCAAAATTGCAAATTTTCGCGTAGGATAATCCCACAAAAAAAATTTTCCGGCAGAAATGACTGATGCTGGCAGAAAGACCCAAGCCTTGACTATACCCGAGTAAATTATAAAGAAAATTTTAGTACTGTAATTTTCTAAACAGTCCACGGCGCGAGGGGTTGCAAATCCACCCCTACGAAGCCGCAGAGCGAAATCTAGGTCAAACGGGCGGATTACACTTGGCGCGCAAGGATACCCGGATACTGGTAAAAAGAGTGAGCTAGAGGCCACTCTAGACAGCCACTCGGTACAGGTAGCGTGTATTACTGAGACCTGGTTAACACCTAAGATTCCAGATGATGTTTCATCTATCGAAGGTTACAGTTTGTTCAGGAAAGATAGACTTTGTGGTAAAGGTGGTGGAGTTGCTTCATTCATAGCTAATGACATACCAGCTAAAAGGCTGCACGATCTCGAAACTGATACACTAGAGGTAATGTGGCTACAAGTCAGGCCAAGATGGCTCCCTCGTACTGTTCCAGTTCTTTTCCTTGGCATCATATATCATCCACCTTGTAATAATGACAAAACAGGGTCTGCAAACTTGATACAACATCTCATTAACTCTTGTGACAGTTTGTACCGTAAACAACCCCATGCCGGTCTCTTGTTGTGCGGTGACTTCAATAAGTTACCACTCCAGAACTTGCTCACAGTTCACCCCCACCTGAAGCAAGTAGTGACGCAGGCCACGCGGGGCTCTGCTACGCTGGACCTGATCATAACCAACTTATCCCAACACTACTGTAAACCACTTACCCTTCCACCAGTCGGAACCAGTGACCACTCCTGCGTTCTCCTACCGCCCTGTGTACAACAACCACCAAGAAGCAAACCAGCCAAGGTAATGCGGAGGGTGGCAACTCCGGTGGCAAAGTTGAACCTGGGACTCTCACTGGCCACGGTGGACTGGTCTCCTGTCTTCAAAGCCACTTCTGTTGAACAGAAAGTTGAAGTTTTCTACAGTCTGATCATGACCCTGATAAACAAACACCTTCCTGTAAAAGTCTCTTCTGTGAGGGCCTGTGACAAGAAGTGGATGACCGAGCGAGTCAAACGTATCATCAGGGAAAGAACCATGGAGTTCAAACGCCATGGTAAATCTGCTCGGTGGGAGCTTCTTAGGAACAAAGCTGATACTGCCATCAGACAGGCAAAGTGGTGGTATTACAGAAATTTCGCACAACATCTGAAACAGGAAGACCCACGGAAATGGTGGAGTTTTGTTAATCGGGAGCTTGGTAGGTCGCAGGAAAGAGCTAGGCACATTACCATTGAGGGTAAATCTGACCCCGAAGTTGCTGAGGCCCTAAGCCAGCACTTCTCTGACGCGTGGTGCCCTGGAAATGACCTGTACTTGTTTCCCCTTCAACGTCCTGCCAAAGCAGTTGAACTGTGCACGATTGGTGAGGTTAAGGCCCTGCTTAAGAGCTTGAACTCCACCAAAGCTAGTGGTCCAGACGACCTACCCACATGGACCCTGAAGCAGTACGCCGAGGACCTGGCTCCTGTCGTAACGCACCTGTTAAATGCCTCATACGAACAGGGTGTAACTCCAAGCATCTGGAAGGCAGCGAATGTTGTTCCCATCCCGAAGTCTAGGGGAGCAGCTAACCCGAGTGACATGAGGCCTGTTTCGCTCCTTCCTATTCTGGCCAAGCTACTGGAGAGGTGTATTCTCAAAAGACTCTTACCTGCCATCACTCCGGTGATCACCAACCAGTACGCTTACCTGAAGGGCTCTTCCACCGTCCTCGCTGCTATCAGGATGGTGCACACGTGGTTGACAGCCCTCGACTCAAGAGACAACATCGCAGTCCAGGCCTTGTTCGCCGACATGAGCAAGGCCTTCGATAGAGTGAATCATGCGATTCTGCTTCAACGTGTTAACGACGTGGTCGGAAACCCACGTATGGTAGCTTGGTTACACAACTACCTGCAGGATCGCACCCAGAGGGTCTCTGTAAACGGCAAGTTCAGCGGTTGGAGAACACTCACGTCAGGGGTACCGTCAAGTGGGGTGCTGTCACCCTATCTATTCCTGTTATTCATGAGTTCCCGCACCACAGTCTACATGGATACCTTAGATGTGGGGTACGCCGACGATGTGAGTCTGTCCAGGACAATCACCTTGGACACTGGCAGTACAGTGAAACTCTATGTCAGCAGAAGCCATTCAGCTTGACACCTGGGCACATCACAATGACATGTTGTTGAATGGCAAGAAGAGTCAGTCGTTGCTGATCTCTTTCAAGAGAAACATCCCTGCAATACCG